GACATAGTCCCTCCAGCGTGTCCTGGGTCTTCCTCAGGGCCTCCTCCCGGTGGGACGTGCCCGGGCCACCTCAACTGGCTCCTCTCGACGTGGAGGAGCAGCGGCTCTACTCTGAGTCCCTCCCGGATGACCGAGCTTCTCACCCTATCTCTAAGGGAGAGCCCAGCCACCCTGCGGAGGAAACCCATTTCGGCCGCTTGTATCCGGGACGTCCTCGCCCTCCTTCTAAAATTAGATATCTATCTATCTGGACACCTCCCTCTGGAGGTTTTCCCGACTCCTCCCAATGGAAGGCAGATGAAGCTCTCTTGTTGTCTTTAGGTAACTTAAAACTGATTAAAATTTTTACCATAAAAGATAAGGTAAGGTAAGATAAAACTTTATTGACATTACAGCAGCTCAAAACAGGACAGGGGGAGACAGAATAAAGAAAGATAAGTAAAAGAAAAACAAAAAAAAACCCACTATACTCGTGATATATAACAATGTACATATACTGCTATATTGTACTATACACTATGTACTGCATGTCTCGGTCCTAACCTGATGGTTCTGTCAACAACAGTTTGGTAAAGCAGAAAAAGAGCTCCTGGAACTGGACAACAACGTTAAGGAAACTGAAGAGAGAAACGAGCACATGACTAAATACTTCACAGGAGCTCAACAGGAGCTGAAACACATCGAGGTGAGTGTGTTGGAATATTACTGTATTCCCGCTAGATCTGTTATTTTGATCATTTTGATTTCTTCAAGGCTCTGTTGAGGGCAAAGGAGAGCGAGGTGGAGCTGGAGAAACACCTGGCGGCCCTCGCAGAGAGAGAGTCAGGTCATCTTGGTCAGCAGACGGTCAACAATCAGAAAGAGCTCAGGTCTTTAAAGGAAAGGAAAGAGGCGACAGAGGTCTGTACCTTGCCTTTAATTTAGAAGCAAAAGCAAAAACCGCTTACAGAGTTTATTTTACTCGTTTACCAAAGCGTGCTTCTTAACGTTTTTATTCAATTTAATCAGAAAAGCATGTTCAAGACAAACGAGCAGCTTGAGGATTTTAAGCAACAGATGAACTCGGACCAGCAGACTTTGGATGAAATCTTAGAGGAGTCGACACGCAGAGAGGAGGACATCATGGCCATCACCAAGTACGCTCAGCAAGATGAACAAAAAATCAAGGTTGAAAACACAAAGATTCCTTAACTAACAACTGCGGGCATAGGACAGGGCTATTCAACTAAACTGCTCCGGGGGCCACAGTTACTGCAGGTCAACAGCTGAGGGGCCGAACATCCAGCAGTTAAAGTTATTATGTAAACAAACCAAGTATTACGAAGATCTGTTACCTTTGAAATAGTTTATTTTGCTGCATTTAATCATGAATACAACATACAGAACTAGGGCTGCAACTAACGATTATTTTAATAAATCGATTAATCGACAGATTTATATTTCAATTAATCGATTAATCGGCCAAATCATTAAAACACTTAATTACATAAATATAAGTAGAAATAAATTAATTTAATTCCTGTATAAATTAGGGATGCAAGTTATCGATTAATGTGAAGTTGTCTGAAGTTGATTTATCATATTGACTAACGATTAATTGATCAGCAGCCATTTTCTTTAAAAAGTTTTCTATTGAATCCAGAGG